TCAGACACAATTTTAAATGGGGCTGAGGAATACTTTTGAAGTAGGGAAAGAAGTTCAGAATTGGGAGACCTTTAAGATAAGAAAGCAGTGTTTTCCAACTTCCCCTTTTAGTTTTCCAGAGTCTCTGAGTATCCATGGGTATGGTGCCAAGTAAATTGACAATGGCTCTCTCTTGTCCTTACAGCTGGAAGACCCAGGTGAAGGCCGAGGCTCAGGTGCCCACATGATCAGCACAGCCAGGGTACCTGCGGATAAGCCAGTACGCATTGCTTTCAGCCTCAATGATGCCGCAGGTACACTCTGCTATGCCTTCTGCCTGTTACCAGTATGATGTCTAGTTCCACAAAGGAAACAAAATTAAGCTCACTGACATTAAGTTGATTCTGAATCATTAGGACAGAGTAGAACTACATCTGTGGGATTACAAGTCTGTAACTGTTTGCAAGTCTTTCTTCCATCGAGTGGCTGGTGGTTTTGAGCCTCTGACCTTGCAGTTGGAAGCCCCAAAGAAACCACACCTGGAAATGCCCCCTTGGTACAACCTAATGTGTTTTCCTCGCACATTGTTTGGGTGGATTCCAGAAAGCGCTCTGGTGATACTTCACCCACCACCTCCAATCCTTTGGTTGTTTTTGCATAGTTCTTTTGTTTTTGGTTCCATCCACTGTTTTTGCTTCCTTTAAGAATAAAATTAATAAGAGTAATAGCAATATACTAAGGGCCGAATGATAGCAATGGTGTCATTTAAAAAAACCTCATGAGAAAATGTTTATGAAGGGCTGGCCATTAGTTAGGTAACATAAAAATATCGCTGTCCCAGTTCCAACAGCATTTGCTGAAGCCCGAGATCCAAATGCTGGTTTCTCCCTGGTGCTCCCACACTTCCGGCTAACCAGGCTTCAGCGGGAGTGATGAATGAGACAGGTGAGGCCGAGTCTCTCGAAATAGTAAGGTCTGAGGTGAGGCTGCCATACTTAGAGCCCTTCATCATAGCTCCCCTCAGTGACCTCTTAACACACATATTGAGTTGCACCACCTTTGAACAGAGGACCTCAAGTGGTGGGAGGTCACAGCCATGAGACTTGGATCTTTTCCACTGGTCTGACCATTTCTCTCTGTCGAATGTCACCTGTTAAAATCACATGCTTACACCGTATTACCATTTCAACCCTGGGTCTTTTGAAGACCAACTTAATTTCTTTATCTGTTTTCCTACAATGCTCATGAAAGGGTGATATTTGTCATTATTTTTCAAACTGATTACACAAAGACAGATTTATTTTAAAATACTGTGAAGAAGAGAGAAAGTGAAAGCTAGGTTCTGTGAAGTCTGATGTTACTCGGCCCATGCAGACTAGAGATCATGTGGGTGATACGTTTAACCCAGGTTTCCTGAACAATAGCACCCATGGAGGGGGTGCTCCGGTGCAGGGAGAAGGGAAGCCTCAGGTTTTGTGATCTCTTCATTCATTATTCTTCCCCTGGCCTGCTGCTGTACTCTCCTCTGACTCAGGGTTTGTCCAGAAAGACAGTGGTGAGTGAGAACCCAAGAGGTAAGCCAATCTACCCCAACATAGGAGGGCAATTGCATTTAGGTGCCTTTCTTTTTGATTTAGGCATTTGATATTATTTCTAATTCATGAAACTAGCCTGCAGGGTAGGCATCTGTATTCTCATTTGACAGAGACAGAGACTGGGGCCTAGGGACCATAGTAGAGTTGTAGTTTAAACTCAGATTCCTAGTCGTAAAGGGCAGAACTCTCTTTATTATTCCAGGAGAAGAAATAATACTGCTTCTCCAGGAGAAGAAAACAAGGAGAGAAAAACCCCTCTTATTTTAAAATGCATTTCATAAAAGCAAGCTTTTGAGGACTAATCAGGGTTTGAGTGCTCAGTTCTCTCATCCCAAAATCCAGGGAGAAGAGGAGGCATCATTTTCTTCCTTCTGCTCCTCCTGCCCATGGGTGCAGTACAAGTCATCGTGTAATCAACAACCTTAGAAAGAAAATGCTTGTATAAGAAGCCAGTTTATTCTCAACAGGGTTTTTACATTATAATGTTAGAGTAGACAGGTAAAGGTACAGCTCCATTAGATTCATTTTAACAGAATTTACATGCAGAAAAGCCGCGGAGAGGAGACTCTCAATGTTGAGTCTACCTTAACGAGAGCCTTCTTTGAAGCACAAGATGTGCAGCTTGTAATCTGCTGCCATCCTGCAACTGGGAGCATGTACATACTTTGTAATCCACCAATTTAGATAGATTTGTTCCACTCTCTTATGCATCAATTAAAACACAAACAAACCAGTGATACGCTCTTAAATGCCACAAAATATGGACAAAACTAGAGAACATTATGCTTAGCAAATTCAGTCAATTCTATAAAGATAAACATTTAATATCACCACTGTTATAAGGAAGAACAAAGAAGGAGTGTGGCTTATACACCAATAGCTAAGGCTTGATGACTGTGAAGTGGCCAGAGACAGGGGTAGGAACATGGAGAACAGGGGGCATGGTGATGGTGGAGGGAGAAATGGAGGGTTTAACACCCAAAAAATTAATTTAAGAAATAAACAAATAAAAATTGCTTCATCGAGGGAAAAACCCAAACCCTCCAGATTTCTTGCTCTTCAGATCTAAGTACTGGTCTGAATGCCCCCAAAAAGGAGGAAAAGTAAAACCGACGTGGACTTGGAGCCTCCACTGACACGCAAGTGCATTTCAAACAGTTGGGAACAACAACAACAACAACAACAACAACAACAAATATTTGTTCTAGTCTCTTTCTCATCTCCTTCAAATGCTCTAAGAATGTCTACTTTGAAATACCTGGGCTTTAAAAAATATAATTTCAAAAAGAGACTGTCATTTATTATACGTCATTCTTACTTCCTGATCCCACCAAAAGATACTTATGAAGAACAGACCAGAATTAGATCTACTTATGATCAATGTGTCTCTGTATCTCTAAAGGAGCATCACACGGAGTGTCCAAGGCAGGCGCTTGGGCTCATTGTTTCTTTGCATCAACTAGAAGAGCTACTTGAACCAAACAAACATTAAATTACACATCCGATTCAATAGGTTCAGGCTCAGGAATCTGTTTTAGACAAGTGCTCTGTGAGAACTTTCTGATCTGACAAATATGGGGTTAGATATTAGTGCAACACTGGTTTCACTCGATGCTGAGAATATAGAGAAACATGCTTTACAGATATTTGGGGACACTCCTGGATTCTTGAATATGAAGCATGTAGAGTGTCATACACAGCAGTGCTTGTTGTCATGGACACAGTGCATGCCTTTGGCATTCCAGTGCATATGGCGGGCAGGCCATGTGTTTAGGGGGAAAACAAAGAGAAATATTAGAGGCTTCCATGACAAATAGGGAGACTATAGTGGACTTCTGGGAGAATAAGTCTAAATTGTTGACAGTTTATTATTAGTGAGTAAGCAACATCCTTAGTAGGAGAGTCTATCTGTAAGTATTGATACCTATTTATTTTTTATAAGTATTATAATACCATGTCTCTTTTTCTCTCATTATGTTAGGAATGACTATTCATTGTTTGCATTTTTATTCCCTGAAGTGATTTAGAGCAGAAGTTAAGGCTTAGGTCTTTGGAATCAGAAGGGTGTGGGCTTTAGGGTCATCGTCCTCACCGTTTGTATGACCTTGGTTATGTCATTCAACCTTGTTAAACTTCAGCTTCCCATAAACGATATAAATTCATAACTCACAGGATTGTTGTAAGAATGAAATGACAGCATATAGTTCACGCCTGTAGCACAGTGCTTGGCACAAAGGAAACATTATTATTATGCCTGGTGGAGCCCCTGAGACTGTGGCCCTGAGTCACGCTTTAGGTTCTGGAAATGAACTTGCCTCGATGACTCAACGTTCAGCCAAGCAAAAGCCAGGTCTCTAAGGAGAACAGTAACACTAGGGAGCTAGGCACACCTTAGAATGATTAACTTTTTGAGATCAAAAGGGTGGCACTTCCCAAGACAAAATACTGAAGGGTCAGGAAAGGGGCAACGGCAACACAGGGAGGAAGGGGACTGCACGATGTCACATTCAGGGAATTGCCATCAATGAGATGAATGAAAATGTGTATGAATTGTTGAATGGAAAATTGATTTGTGGGATAAATCTTCACCCAATTTACAATAAAAAAGTTTTGTTTTGTTTTTAGAAAAGAAATCACTAAGCAGTGTATGTCCTATCTTCAGCTTCTATTTGATATGAAAGCAGATTTTATCGTACAAGATTGGCAGCAGCTATATAACTAGTAATTAAATGCTCTCAAGCTGATTTCAATGTATGGTGAGCCCACGTATGTCAGAGTAGAGCTGTACTTCAAAGGGTTTCCAAATTCTGATATTTCGGACAGAAGTAGATCGCCAGGGCTTTCTTTTGAGGCACTTCTGGGTGGACTCACATGTTTAGCCTTTTGATTATCAGCTGAGCACATTAGCCATTTTTCATACCACCCAGTGACTCCTGTGGTTTTTCAGGGACTAGTTATCTATTTGATTGGTTGTGGGTGTCCCTTACTTCCTTTCTTTTTCAAATAGAACACATGAGCTAATTTAAGAGAAGGAAGCAGTGTAGTATGTTGTGGAAATACTAAGACTCCAGTCAATTGTAGCAGAGGTTTGAACTGTGTGAGTCAGTAACACATCACTTAAGAGCCCTGCTTGAGTTGGACCTTGTGATGGGAAGTTACCTATATTATCTCAGAAAATATAATCACAGAGAAGAATTAGCAAGTCTGTTTTATGAGTTCAACAGAATAATTTGGACCTGTTCAGAAGGAGCAGGAAACAAAAAACCTCTTTAACAAGAGAGCAATAAAAGGGAGCTTCAAAACGTTCATGGAAATAAACCATTGCCTTTTAATTCCATTTGTCCATAAACTTTTGAAGCCCCTGCATATAATAAAGATGCTAAAAATTTGGCTAGTGGGATATTCTAGAACATGGAGAAAGGAGAGTACAGAAGAAGTTTTCTGTAATGGCACAGAGACAAGTAATAAAAACCTAGATTAGAAAGGAAAGACTACTTTATCCAGGGGTCACTGTGTTAGTCCAGGTGGACTAGAGAAACAAATTCATAGACACTCATATGTGTATAAAAAAGAGCTTTATATAAAAGAGTAATTGTATACCAAGAAAACATCCCAGCCCAGTCCAGATCAAGTCTATAAGTCTGATATTAGCACATATGTCCAATACCAGTCTATAAATTCCTCTTCAGACTCATGAAGCACATGCAATGATGCCGAGT